AAATTCAATCAAATGCACATCTATTGAGACTGCTATCATAGTGGATAGTTTAACTTGCAATGAGGGCCTGTGTGGATAGTGTTGATCACTGTACCCCTCTCCCAATAGCCCTCATCAACTCAACACCTCCATCCAACCCTCTTTTTTGAGGGATTCTGAAGATTGGCGGTGCATTCACAAAGATGTAAACTTTTGATGCGATTTTTAAACACAGGCATAGATTACCAAAGCAGAGAGATTTTGCTAACCCTACAACACATTTCAATCCCATTTGAATACAGTTGTTTCAGGTCCTGTGTGACTTTTCAACAGAACTCAAAAGTACCAGGCTTGATGAATTAGTCAATTTCATAAGAAGTTGGGCCAGACCAAGCCACACAGAGATCCAGAACATGAGATAAATACCCTTAAAGGTATTAAAGGGAAGATTTGCAGACCCCCTTTCAGTCAAATGACACAACAACGCCCGACAATGCCTTGCTGAGTTTCCTTTTAAAATCGAGATGGATATCAAATATTGGTCTTCCCTATTTCCTTTTACCAAGAAAACAAATTATGTTTTTTTTTTGTTCTTATCACAACAAATCTGGAATGCATTTCTTCCTGTTGGTTGGCAATTGGTTATATTTTTCTCATGCTCCCCAAATTTGCCTTAGTGGGAAATTTGGTTGTGTTTACATCTCCAGAGATGGATTTGTAGGGCTGGTCTTTGGGCTCTTCATCAGTCAAAAAAATCGGATTACAGGAATTGACCTGAACTTCAAATAATGTTTATCACTCTGGAAAGAATAAGCCTACAGCAGTATTTTTTTGGGTTTGTCAGAGAGACATCGTTACAGCAGGATTTAATCAGCCATTGATTACAAAAATACAACTTGTTAACAGAGCTGGATATTACCTACTGTTGGAGATGCTTCGAGGTTGACTAAAACAATGTTTTCTTGAAAGTTTAATCTGTTTATGTACAATTGCAATTCATGAAATGGAAATAAAACTTGAAGGCAGTTGGGAAACACAGCTGGAATAAGATTTCAGATCAAAACATTCATTTATAAATAAAATAACCAGGGAAATAAACATGTGATTAAATCAAGATACAACAGTATAAACTTATTACACACAAGTTTTTCATATATGTTAGAATGTGCAAGAAACCAGAGTATCTCCCCAATTTAGAGGGGTCTGGACAATAATCTCTCTATTGGATGCGAGAGATACACAAGGGATAAAGGCATGCCGCATGCTTTGTATAAAATTAACTGTAGTCCGTGTTAGTCCCACACAAGTAGCTGACTAGTTGTCAATGCCTGAAACCTCAGTCTTCTTCACAGAGATGAAGCAGCCACCATGCGTACCAACTTCAGCTACCATAATAGTCTTTTCAATGCAGCAAGCATTTCCCTGCACTCTCACACTTTAACCAATACTACAATAAAGCTCGATGTGCAATTAATTTGGTGTAAGCAGCAACCTGGCATGTAAAAAATAACTGTTAGTTACCTATGTAAGCACTCCTTGCACAATAATTTAGTGCTCATGAATGGCTGAAACACAATTTGTACCAACTGAATCCCAGTGTCTTGTTGCAAATACATTTCAATTGCAGAGATGATAGAACAGTCAATATTGCACATTTGTTTGCATTAACACTCCTGTTTTCTTAAATAAGTGGTACCAATATTTGCCCAAGTTCTGAGGTGACAAAGAAGTTAAAAGTAGGCTTTGTTCTTTTAGAATATTTTATAACCCTACAATATAAAAAGTAGAACAGCAATTTTTTTGCCAAAATAATCAATTAGGCACATTAAGTTCTCTCTTCCACGGATTTATGATGTTGAAAGCACTGAACTAGCAACTAGTCTATTGTCTAAAAGTATAACTTTTTTTAACACAAAAATAATATGCTGCATGGAAAGCTAGAAAGGAATGTTTTCCTCCTTAAGATCCGAAGTGATAATGTGAATCAATACGACACATTGTGGTATGTTTGATATGTTTAAAGACAGTCTTTTGAGGCAAAAGTTTCACATTATAAAATCGATTATCCCAACAAATCATGCTCCAACCTAAATTGCATTTCAAATCTGTTTGATGAATTATACAACTATTACTTTTTTTTAAAAAACAGGATTACAGAAAATTTCAGCCCATTGTCTGTGCCAGCTCTTTAACGGAATACAAAACTTCACTGCCTATCTCTCCTTTTTTGCTGTACATTTAACTTTGCTTCAATTACCTAACATCGAATAATCTGGATTCATTTTTTTGTCTCAAGAAGTTTTCCTGAAACTACATTAATTAAACAAAAATAGGTCAGAGATAGAACAGCAGCAAGATCAACTCACAGTCCAACAAGCTGCACAAAATTAAGGACAAATACAAAGGCACAATCAATCCAGACCTGATGTTCCCACATTATAGCTATTTTGAACTGCCGCACTACGCTCAGAATGCCTCAACTGAACGTCTATTCCTAGAATTAGCCAAAACATGCCATAGATCACGGAGGTCAAAATTAGTTTAACTTGCGTGCAGTTAACATTCCATTCCAATTTTGGTAGAGATTTTCCTTTGCAAAGTTCTTTTACATTCTTTATTCTAAATATTGTTCAAAATATTTTAAATATTGTTTGTAAGGATTTATGAAGACCATTAGTGTCTAATTTTAAAGTACATTCAAGTGGTCAGGGGCAACTTCTTAAGTAGCATGACTTTTTTTGAGGTCATCAGAGAAGTTTCGAAAAAGTTTAAAAAGAATCATACAATGAAGGAATGCTAATCCTGGACTTTGACCAGTTTTCCTGTCCAGAACTCAGAAAATAGTTCATCACTTGCCACGGAAATAAATAAAAATAATGGGGTAGATTTTTTTTACTAGCTAGCCATTTTGCCAATGTAGAAAGGATTAATACATGGGCACCCTACAGGATCCCCATCATAGCACAGTCTGAAGGAATTGATCAGAAATTTTAATTTTTTGGTCAGCAATTCCACTATTCTTGGAAACCTACAAAAGTCTCCACAAAAACTGGATACTTCAGATGATTCCTGAGTAACTATTCAAATGGCTGCAGAATTACAACCTACATCTCTTACATATGCATTTCCCTGGAGCTAAATGCAGTGAAAAGGGAGTGTGATTTGTTTTCCTATGCTACAAAAGAACTGTGAGAATCGAAGTATGGCTTCACATTTCTGAGGGAGACCTGTATAGAATCTCCACTCAGAAATGCAGAGCTCCCTTCTTTCAGAAAAAATGGCTAGAGTGGGAATCTGTACAGGATTACCATTCACCAGAAAACTTGGCCCACTATTAGGAAGTTTTTTCTGCAAACATCTTAGACGTTACTGCATGCATTAGAAGTGCCAAATTGAAAGTTAATATTCCAAATCAAAGTAACAGTTCAGAAATAAGAATCATTGAGTTTCTTACAGTGTGGTTGCAAGCCATTCAGCCGAACAAGTCCACTCTGACCAATGAAGAGGATCCCACCCCCTGCAGTATCCCTGCATTCCCCATGGCTAATCCACCCAGCCTACACATTTTTAGACTGCGGGGGCGGGGTGGAACTGGAACACCTGGAAGAAACCCACGCAGACACAGGGAAAATGTGCAAACTCTGCACAAACAGTTGCCCAAGGGTGGAATCAAATCCAGGTCCCTAGTGCTGGGAGGCTGCAGCACTAACCACTAAGTCACCTTGTGACACCTCTTGAGATTTGTTCCAAGAAGTGACAACAATTAGATTTCTCATAATCAGTTAGTGTAATAACAATAATTAATAATTTCATTACATCGACTTTTAATCTGAATTGTACTGTAGACAGAAAAATACAAAATTCAGTTATTCAGTGACACAACAGCCTCACTGCTGAATTAAAGACAAAAATCACCTATCATACAGGGTGACACCAAAAACTGGTTTCTCCTTACTAAAGTCAGTCATATTTTGACAATCTTCTACAAGTTAATTCACAAAGTTGTTAGCATTTAAAATGTAATTGTAGTTTTCAAAAATAATGAACTGGGATAAGAAATCTTTAATTGATACTTAAAGTTACTATTTTATCAGGTCAATCCTATTGAGAGTTTAAGTCGGGTAAATGACTACATCTGCAGTTCACTAGAACAGTTAAGAATTCGAGGTGGGAAACAAACGTTCGGATAGTTAATACTGTCTACAATGATTTGATTGGTAAAGTTGGAGTCATACAAACCAAATAACTGCTAGGTTTGATCTCCAGTTTGTGCAAAATTAGCAGACTGCAAGAGATATAGATAGAGTGGACAGCCAGAGACTTTTTCCTAGGGTGGAGGCAGCTATTACAAGGGGGCATAGTTTTAAAGTGAGTGGAGGTAGATATAGGGGAGACGTCAGAGGTACGTTCTTTACTCAGAGAGTGGTCGGGACGTGGAATGCACTGCTGGAGAGGGTAGTGGAGTCGGCCTCATTGGAGCATTTAAGCGGCTATTAGATAGGCATATGGATAATAGTGTAAAGGTAGGGTGGAGGTTAGATACACCTTAGGATTAGTGTAAAATTTCGGCACAACATTGTGGGCTGAAGGGCCTGTACTGTTCTATATATTCTATAACATCTTGGTCTCTCACTTGTCAAAACACTTGGAGTCTAAGCTGGGGCTGACACATTAAACTTACTACTTTAATGAGGTACCAGAGGGCTGTTATCACCTGTGCTTCATATCTCAACATGTGCCTGTATTTTCAACACAGGCGATTAAGAAAATCCCATTAACAGTGCACATATAAATTGTTGAACAAAGTAGTATAAAATATTCAAACCCTCAAAAATATAATGACTGATATTCCTTCATGGATAAGCAGTACTTAATTTGAAGGAAAAATCACACAATAGGCTTTTCAAGATCTTCCAAGTTTATTTGTACATCAGGTTGAAACGTTGACCTCGGTAAAATAGAGTGCCTTATTCTAAATATCATCATAGCACATATTGTATAAAAATCAAGATGCACACAAATACTTAAAATTTGTTTATTTATATTTGACAAAATACATTTCTGACACTTTATTGAAGCCAGTTTCATGCAGATTCAAGACGTGAACAGCTCTGTAAGCAGATGAGATCTCAATGCACAGATCAATAAATAAACTTCATAATGTCTGAACAGCCAAAGTAAATTCCACACAGTATTATTTCTTTAAAACATACACACGTCAACCACACTTAACAGCCTGCAGTGCACCAATGTCCAAAGATGAGCTTCAAGTGTTTTCACCACACATATTGAAAGAATGCTAAAATGCCAACAAAAGTAAAATAATTTACTGGCTTGCAAAATGAACATAAACAAGTGTTTGTCAATAGTTTAAAAGAACATTCTAGACTTGTAAGTAATGGTAAAACTAGACATTTTACACCAAATTATACAAACTTGCAATTAACATTCATTATGAATTGGCTGCATCATATAGATATGCTGATTTTGACAGCACAAAGATCAGGGTAAATTCTTTCACCTAACAAACGTGGGCTGTACGATGAAAGATTTGTATTACGTTGTGCGACTGGTGCAATGTGAGCCGTCAACACTTTTTAATCTGGGTCTAAATCGAACATCTACCAGGTTTCTGATAAGAGAAACTTTTAAGCATAGTTTTCCATTTTCAGATGTTGATTGACAATCTATATATTTTCAGCAAAGCATTTCTATTTCCATCTTCCAGCATTCCTTTTCTCCTTTAAACCTCCAATTGAAAACCCAATATCAACCAAACCATTAACTGATCAAAGATTAATCAGTTTAGTGCAAAATTTAGTTCAGCATATGTTATTATAAGATGTGGCGTGGGGAGGGAAATTATCTCCCATGTGTATAAATGCTTTGTGGGCTCTAAAAGTATTTGTTTAAAATAAAATATAAATACCACATCCCTTCTCTTGAAATTGAAATATAGACAGTTGCACTGCTTACTAATTCCGGGCTTTAGTGCAAACTCACTTTCAATACGTTTCAACAAATATAGCATTAATACAAACCACAAATTTCCCTGCAGTTTTCTTGGCATCCTAACGATTTGATGTTTTCAAGGGATAAGCCCAGATCTTTAACAAATGAATGAGAAAAATATTTTTTGACAATAGCCACTCCAACATTACCATCTTTGATAACCAAAGCAAAAACTGGATACTGCCAATTGTGAAAACCTTCAAAAATTCTTTAAACATGGACTATGCTCCTTATTGTGTAATATGCTTGCCAAGAAACAACAGAATGACAATCTATCCATTCCAGCAATAGGTTTATTAACAAATTTCAAACTAGGAGTCAACATATTTCAATTTTTTTTTGTATGGCAGTGATTCTCAACTTAAAATGTAATGCCTATGGGTTAGACAGTGCCATTAATGTAGGTAATTGCCATATGCCAGATGGGAGAGACAAAAGGTTCACTTCCCGATCTGGTAATGGGCCTAGATACAATGCCAGAAGGAACAGAGTATGTTTTGAGTTTGTATGATTCAATTATAATTTAAAATTGCATCCATTCCTGAACAAAACTGATACTAGTTTTCTGCCAATAATGGTCAACTGGCATAGAGTTCTTGTAGGGCAACTAGACAGCAGCATAAATTTCATCATGGCAACTGGGGAACTGAAGGACACTTAAGTATATCTGTAATAAAAAGATTAGTTGAATGATTACCATTGCTGAAAGTATCAGATTGGTACTAAAAACCCAATCATTTACTAATGCTCTTTAGGGAAGAAAACCTGCTGGCTAATGATGGTCTTATAAGCGACTCCAGGCCTACAGTAATGTTCTGAGGAAGGGTCACCGGACCTGAAACGTTAACTCTGATTTTTTTCTTCATAAATGCTGCTGGACCTGCTGAGCAATGTGACTGAATCTTAAGCCGGCAAGTAAGCCGCTCAAGGAGGTAGCTGTAAAGAACATTTTCAAGGGCAATTAGGGATGAATAATGATGCCTGGCACCCTATGACAGATATTAGAAATCTTAACTACTGCAACTATCTAAAATGCAATATTACTATTATTAGTGGTGACATTTTTGACAGAGCCTTAGAATGAGGCTCTCCTAAAAGGCATTCATAGCTCCATTTATTAATATTTTCACTAAGATTCAATGCTGATCTACTGGAAACTGCACCAACATGAATGTTATTTAGAATCTTGCAGATCCAAACCCGAACATCTTGGAATCCACAAAGTGTGGAAATTACAATTTGAAGCCATATTCTGGCTGTATATGTCCTGGCCATCAAGCCAGTCATCCACACATCTGCTCTCAAACATTTATTTACATGTCATTTATACTGTCAGTTGCCAGAGGCCAAAACTTGTTTTTATTTGTGTTCAAACTTAATGCCTTGTGACAGATAAGTATAGATATATACACATTAATATAAATAGGCAACTAATCTTTTCTTACCAAGCTGGGTGCAATGCAGTGTGTGTGTGCGCGTATGTGTGCATCAGGATATCAAGAAATGACTGAAGGCAGTGGATTCTGTGAAGGCTATAGGCTCTGAAAACATTCTGCTAATAGTACTGAAACCTTGTGTCCAAAATTAGCTATGCAACTTGCTAAGATAATTCAATACAGTCACAACATTGGCATTCACCTAGGAATGTGGAGAACTGCCCAGGTATGTCCTGTGCACAAAAAGCACAACAAATCTAAACCAATTATCATTCTACCAAGTTAATCTTGATCACCAAATTTATGGATGTGGACACTGAAAGCAAATGGCATTCACTCAACAGAACCTGCTAACTGACGCTCAGCTTGGGTTGCACTGGGCCCACTCAGCTCCTGAACTCATGCAACCTTGGTCCAACTATGGACAAAAGAGAACTGAACACAACAGAGGAAGAAAGGGTTACTACCCAACATCCAAGGCAGAATTTGGGCAAATACAGCATCAAGGAGCCCTTACAAAACTGGAATCAATAGGAATCAGGGGAAAATTCTGCATGGGTTGGAGTCATTCCTAACTCAATGGCATATTGTTGTGATGTTGGAGGTTAAGCGCCTTAGTCCAAGGACAATACTGCAAGAGTTCCTTACAGTAGTGTCTTTGGCCCAGCCATCATCAGCTGCTTCAAGGACTTTCTTTTCATTATGTCAAAGATGGGATGTTTGCTGATGGTTGCACAATGTTCAGAATTATTTGTGACTCCTCAGATATTGAAGCAGCGTACATATGTAGCAAGACTAAGACAACATTCAGATTTGGGCCGAGAAGGTGAACGGTCATATAAATATCATGGCAACAAGAGCAGGAGAGGGGCTAGGAACTCTGCTGAGCAACCCACCATCCAATTCTCTAATGCCTGTTTACCATCTAAAACGCACAAGTCGGACGGTGTCTATTCCACTTGCCTGATCTCCAGTGCCACTCATCTATGAAGCAGCACTGGCACTCTATCCAATAGCTGCAACATTTATTCTCCCACAGTACCAAACCAATGGCAGAAATGTGTATCACTCACAAAATGCACTTTAACAACTCTTGAAGACTCTGTTGTACAGCCCTTTCCAAACCCATGACCTCTATCACCTAAAAGGTCAAGCGCTGCCAGAATATGGAAACATCACCAGTTGCAAGTTCCCCTCCAACCCACACCAACTACATCACTGCTGTTTCATTGATAGTGGCTCAAAATCTAGAACAGCTTCTCAAGGGCAATTGCAGACAGACAATAAATGCTGGCCTAGCCAGTGATATGTACATCCTGTGAATTAATTTTAAATAGTTCACAAGAGGCAAAATGGATGTAATTAGCTAAATACACTGCCTTTTACTGAAACATCATTATTTTTAATTAAACATTTACAGAGAATCATTGTTACAGATTCTTTTTGCACAGCTTATGGAGAAACTACATGAAAATTGAATAATTGATAGAGGGATAGAAATCACTGGGAGTTATTCAAGTAGTTTCAGTACATCCCAGCAGTCACGCTACATGTCATTAGCAGTAACCCCAGAATAGTTTGCAGTGTATTAACAACTACCAAGAAAAGATGAGAAAATAAAAGGCCTTTTAAAAGAAATATTTTATATGTGCATTTCCTCCACAAATACCCTAACCTAACTGCTATAAGGGCCTTATACTGATACTTAATTTTAGTTTTGTCCCCCTCAATCTGATTAATTGAACCTTTTAGTCAGCCAGCCACACATCAACCCATCCATTATCAACCAGTCTGCTCCAGCAAACCCATTCTCCAGCTCATGTTGAAATGCCACATACCCCCTACATCTGATCTGACTACATGCACTTCCCTTTAATTCAAATTGCATCAGTCATTTTACTTGTAACAGCAAGTCAAATTGTGAATTGCATATTGTCACTTGTAAATGATAAAAATATTTTTATTACTTAAATATAAGCTTGTTTTATTGTTAAAATGTCTGATATTACCATTTTACAAACTGCATTAACCTTGACCTGAAAATATGTTACCAGAAGGTGAATTCACTGCTAATACACTTGGTGGTACAATTAATTCTCAAGTACATTTAACTGGACCAATGCAAGTCTTAGTACATTCTTGAGTCCTAAAGATTATTTTTCTTTAGACAACTATAAATTTAAATGGCAATTCCAAAGAGTTATGACCTCATATCTGCACCAAACTCCTTCATGACACACAAGAGCCTGCACCCACCTGAAGTAGAGCTCCTCAAACACTGGAACCAAAAGCGCCACAAGAAGTTAATATACCGAATTCAGAGCAGTAAAGACTCACATTTAGTAGAAGCATTTGCAAAGGTGACAACTTGTTTAGTCCTTTTCATTTACATACAATAGCAGTACTACGCTATTTCAAACCTGAATTTAGTGGTCTACATAACCAAAAATACAGATATGTTTACAAGCTTTAAATAAAGTGTACATTTCCCACATGTACATTTCCCGGCATGGTATGAAAATGTTCAAATTATAACACTAAATTATGTCTAATAGCATATTCATAATTTTTAAGAAGGCCACCAACAGTTGCATAATGTAAATTCCCAGCAGTCTGAACTCTCCTATGGAGATTTCATTTATACATAATCTTCATACTGTATAAAGGACTCAATAATCAATTCCTTTGTTTTTTTTATCCAGCAGCAATACTACTGCAAGCCTGAATTTGCACAGAATTATTTCTTATAATAAAAAACAGCCAACGCATTTTCAGTAAGCTGCAGGCTTCACTAAGGTAAACAAAAACGCAAAACCAATGGCCTTTTTTGTACCACTGAAAATATACACACACACTCTCACTCACATTTATATATAAATATATTATATATACATACACACTATATAAATATACACACTTTGATTTCAGTACCATATTATAATTGTCTATAGAGACATTTTAACTATGGAATACACAATTCAAATTACTACATTTGTCTGTGAATTCCATTAGATTATTAAGGACTATACAATGCATCTTTGGATGGATCCCTTCCCTGAACTTTCTTGTATTAATGGGGAGTGCTCGCTACAGAAAAGTACTATTTTGTTTTAAATTCCTGTAGTAGTGGTATACAAGGATATAGTATATTATTTGTCATGCATTGAAAACATCAAGATAGAAAAGACGTCTTTGAGTCTACATTAAAGTTGTAATGCCCCTTATTGGTGAAATAAGTCAAGATCACATGAAAAAAAGAACACACATGACTCAAAACTAGTTTTGTTTAAAATAGGTGAAGCAAAAAAAAGTTTGTCTCAAGAGCAAAATGCAAAACCAGCAACTGTATATTAAAATACATGTTTGAACCAGCCTTGATACACAAGTCTAATCTGAATCAGCTTTTTGTTTTGAACTTAGTGCTTATATGCAAGATGTAGGCGGCAACTGCTGACAGAGAGATAACAAAATCACACAGATACAGAGACACAACTAAAGTTTTCAGACTATATTAAAGCTTGGTCAATAAACCAAGTCACAAAAATTGCAAAAAGAAATCAAACTTCACTGTTAATAATGAAGACAGAAATAAAGTGAAATAAAGGCAGTGAATTTAATGAGTATCACATTAAAATAATAAAACAGCATATTGCACTTTAATTAATACTTTCTGTACCATACAGTCTAGCTGATGGTTTTTATTTTTAAAAAGAAATAAGCCATGTTGTGCAGTGATTTTAATTACTGTGCAAAGAAGCGAATACTGCATAATCAAAGATGGATCCTTTCAAACACACAACCAAAATGAAGTGCACCATTAACATGACTGAGCAGATGTCATAGTGGAAGGCATTTCTTAAAGCCATTCTTCAAAGCCTTCAAATTGTAGCTCAATTGTGAAAAGCTACAAGCATCCCCTCAACAAAGACACCTGGGATTTTTAAAAAGAATTCAGTACTTTCACCCTAACATTTCCTGTAAACAAGGCTGTTCGAACACGTGAATAATGACCTTATTGTTGAATAAGGCCATAATTTGAGGAAAATTCATAGACAACATATGCAGGGAGAAAGCCATGAACAGATAAGATATAAATAGAAGCTCTCCCATTTCCGAGGAAACTACTCCTTTACTTTGACGGTTCTTTCACAGAGCAAGCAGGCTCTTTCAGCTGATTTTACTTCCTTTGCCTGTTGCTCAGAAAGACCGCCTTCATTTTGACAGTTTACTAATTACTCGGATTAGTGCTCCATTCTCGTCTTTCAGCCTTTGGTTGTCTGATTTCAGCTCTGTTAAAACCTGTAAGAAAAAGGTATAAGTTAAGAATATTCTCAAAATTTGAGTTCAAGTTTTCTTTTCATAGATCATTGATCATAGATCATAGAATCCCTACAGTGTGGAAACAGGCCCTTTGGCCCAACACGTCCACACCAACCCTCTGAGCATTCCACCCAGACCCATCCCCCTATACACTACGGGGTAATTTAGCATGACCAATCCACCTACCTTGCACATCTTTGGACTGTGGGAGGGAACCCACGCAGGCACGGGGAGAACGTGCAAACTCCACACAGACAGTCACTTGAGGGTGGAATCGAACCCGAGTCCCTGGCGCTGTGAGGCAGTAGTGCTAACCACTGAGCCACTGCGCCGCCCAAATTATTTAACCTCCACCTCCTACAAACAACAGATCACTCATTGACCATCTCAAAAGCTGGTAGTAAGCTCTAAGTACTTCTCAGATGTTTGCTGTTTGGAACTCAATTGGTAAGAACGCAACTGCACAACAACAAGGATCACATCAAAAACTGGGAGTGAAGACTGCAACTTCATATATATTGTTTCAAACAAAACGTATGTAGGTGCATTGTCCTTAAACTGGGGCAGAACATAAAAACAACTGATTGTTTCACAAAGGTTAAATTAAAATAGTTTCAGGAAGTTTCACACTGTTTCATTTAACATTAATAGAAATAGATAGTTAATAAAATAAAATTTTCCCAGCTGCAGCTTTTGCTCACTGAAGATGACAGGCATATCATAGAACTAAAGGAAAATAACAAAAAGCAGTAGCTTTGGGCCTAATTTACTAGCTAAATTACACATAGTTTAAAGGTTTGCTTAAAATTAAATAGAGGTGGAATAAAGAGGTGTATAATTTGAAAAGCTTCTTCATTTCATTTAATTAGTCCACAAAGAAAAGAAACACTGATGACAAAACTGTTGTAAAATATCCAGCTATGCAAATTGAACTTTTGCAAGCTAGATTACAAAATTAACATGCAGTTCAGTTTAACTGATAGCAAAATGCAGAGTACAGTGGAGGAGAAATTAACTTTTTAGAAAAATTTATTGGTAGCATCAAGAGATGTGCAGGCTAGGTGGATTGGCTTTTGGAAATATAGGGTTACAGGTACAGGGTAGGGGTTAGGTCTGGGTGGGATGCTCTTCGGAAGGTCTGTGGGGATTTGATGGGCTGAATGGCCTGTTCCACACTGTAGGGATTGTATGATTCTATGAAGTGAAGCCATGAAATGCACAGAAAGCTGAAACACTAACTGCATCAGAATAGAATTTTCCTGATAACTTAGATTTTCTCTTTTCAAAAGAAAAGCAATTAACTAATTTGAATGACATTACAAGACTGAACCAAGTTTCTAGAATCATATTCTGAATTATACATTATTGAAACCTTTGCCATTATTCTTGGAAACAACTGTGCATATTTGCAAAACATTTTACTGCATGTCTATTGTGGAAGAATATAACAAGAAATAAAAGAATTCACAGGGACAAGGTCTCATGACTGAGTTCAAGTTCACTAAACCCACCTACTTCAGCAACAATCTCATAAGCGTCCCAAATAAGATGCAAGTCCAGACAGCAAGAAAATATGGTAAATACCTCTGTGTGAAGCGGACCAATAAATCACAGCGAATCTCACTTGTGGGGATTTCTATTTCACCTATTTGGTATGTCCTACATTCTATCAATGCCAAATTTGGTTGAATGGACCTATTGCTTAAAAAAAAAAGGATAACTGACAACTCAGCAAACAATGAGTGGACTTTCTGTGAGCCTTTTTAAGACAATCAAAAGGTGAAGATAATTTAGGGATGCTTAAACAAGCATATTTTATAAATTGCAAACTGTAAGAGATGACTTTAGATCTCTAAAGCACATCTAAAATTTCTGGCAAATCATGAAACATGGTGCTATTGTCCTCTACAGTTGCATGTACATTGCAGAAACATTATCCGAGAGGTTGACTTCCATTTGGCACTCAATAATCCTAGCACAATACTCTAGCGACATTATTAGTCAAACTGAAGTGCCAAACTAAAAAGAAAATAGCTTGTAGACAGTGCCCAAAAACCATGTCAATCAATATTTTACACAAAAAAAAACATCCATTTTCATTCTACCTGCAACTCTTCCACATCAAGTGTAAATATAAACAACTTTGTTGTTCTATTGTATGTATGAACTTATGACATCAGAGCAGAAATAGACCAATTGGACCCACCAGCCTGCTCCATGCAGTACTACATTTATTAATTGTAGAGAAATCCAGATAAAGCTATTACCATTATTGTATTTTAAAACCTATATTATTGGGGGTAGATTGATTTTAAGTAGCTACCATAAGAAGCTATTTTGGATCACTGCCTATTGATACATAATTAATGGATGCATGTCATTTGACAAGTCTAAAGTTCATATTAGGAAGAGAATTTTAGCACAATGAGCTAAAGACGTTTGCTGTCAACTGAATTTATTCCCTGCCACTGCATGTAGAAGTTAAGTAGACATGGCAAGAAATAAAGTCATACAACGTACTTGAAAACACTACCATATTAGTCTGAGGTAGCACCATAAATTACCCTTAGTCTTGCCTTCAGAAAAACTTGTGTTAAAGAACTAAGTCATATAATCGACCCACAAAAGATGCACATTGTTTGCTTAAATGAACAAGGATGTAGCAGCTTATCTCACCAGAACAAATTTACTTCATATTCAAGATAGAGGTAAACATAGCATTTGATTCTAATAATTAAAAATTAGTTTGCGCTTGAAATTAATTAGAACTTGAAATGCAGAAATTATATCTATTCTCAGATAGAGGGAAAAACCTCAGCTAAGAACAAAATAGGAATCAGCATTTTAACAGAAACAAAGCAGTATAGAAATATTCATGTGACCAAAAACACAATGCTGAAAAACAAAATGGAACTACTGAATTCATTAAACTATGTCAAAACAGGGATGAGCAGCATCACCTGCATCATCTTATGGGCACCAAGGTTTGCCTAACATAACTATAAAAATATTATCCTTTTATTTCTCATTCCCACTTTCAGGTAATTCCAAAACATTTATCATTCTTTTGGTGAGTGCCAATGAACTGTTCTATACTTCAACTGACAGCTAGATGTACATTGGTAGTCCAGAGAAAAGCTTACTTGATTTTCTCCCCCTTGCTAAACCAAATTAACTTTCTCCTGTATTCTGTATCAAAATAACCTATTTGTCACCAATTTTCATAACTCCACATAGCCATAGCCATCACTCCACATCCTAACACAAATCTCTGACAGCCCATGATTCTTTTCTAAAAGTACTCAATTCAGGAGAAACTCAATGGCCCAAAATCTTCTAGTCTCCAGATTATTGGGAGACCAGAAGCAGAAGCAAAGGTGCATGGAACCTTTGGAAGTCCTATGATGAAGTGTCCATGACGTTTTAAACTTGTGATGGCAAAACTGCTGCTCCCCAAGACACAGTGCACAAGTCTCTGAGCTACAGTCAGAGATTTTTGTTCGATCTCTGGTACTCAACTGAACAGTTACCCAGAAAGGAATTACATCGAAAAACCTAGCCTAACTCCTGGATTGACAAATCAAATAACTCATTTGACTACTGTCATATAAGATCAATACCATACACACCTGCCCATTCACTCATTTATAGATTCATTCATCCACTAATGTTAAAACTGGATCTTTAGATTAACCATAAGGCAACTAGTCCAGTTTCAAAAGAAAGGAGTACCTTATCTCTCTCCACAACTCTACTCCACTGTGGCTGAGTTCTCCGACTGACACCGTGCTCTGCATTTCTAGTAAAGCTGAGCTCAGAAAATCAGGTAAAAAATGCAGAACAGAATGGAGTTGGGGAAGTTCGCGAGGTATGAGACCATGGTTCATCATCTATCAGAGATACTTGCCATGTTATGTATGAAACCCAGAGCCACCTTTGGCCAGCCCTTTATAATCTTCTTTTGAGTTGGCTTGCATTTTCTCTACACTTAAATTTTAGCCATTTCATTATTGTATACCTGTTACAGACATTAAAGTTAAGTGAGGATGGTAATCACCCAGGAAGTTATAAATTCTAGAAATATTTCTGGCTATCAGGTGACTAGTCTTATGGTTCTCAAAAGTAAAGCCCTTAAAAGAAAGAAATATCCTAACAAAAAAGTCTTAGCTCAGGTGCAAGTTGGAAGTACAATAATATTGCATTCATTCTACTCCATTCCTCCTATTCTTCACTTTAATCTCCAATCTCATTTCTAAGTGCTATGAATAGATGTGGTGCTTTCATTTGCATATTAGAGGAGAGTGAGGAACAGAAGATAAACTCATTATGATATACATATGATATATGTTGAACCGTACCCTACAAGAAGTGGCTTAACTCATTTGACTTGGAGGTATTTTTCAGCCACCAAAGAGATCAGAAAATCCATGCAGGATTCAGTTTCAGTGCATGGAGGTGAAAGTATATTGCTCTAAATCCAGCATGGCACATAAAGCATCCAATAATGAAATTAAGCATACTAGACAAAATATTGTGATTAAATATGAATCTGTGGAAAAATTTCCTCCATGATCAAAGGAAAATCAAAATACACTTGCAACTGAATTAATAAAATAAGTTATGCAAACTTTAAGTGTAAGGTATGTTATTAAATTTGGATTGGGTCCTATCATTTTGAACCAAATTTAGAAAAGTGTGTAAGACAGGTTAGAAAAAAATCATCTAATAATCATTGTTAAACCCCAGATCTACAAAAGCATTTTATATCTGTCTGCTTGAAGGTTGAGGCCTGCTACTAAAACTTTACAATAGTCTGTGCATACCATCATACTATTCAATTTATCAGGGAAGGTCAACTATGAAGCCATTTCAACACCCAATTTGAGAGAATATAAAATTAATTCCAGCTTTTCCAAAGAACTCTGAGGTTAAATTATCTGGGGTTCTTTCAACTGAAATTAGTTCAACATCACTAAATGTACTGTCAGTTAGAAATTACTACATTTTTCA